TCCGTTGACGAAAGGCGAGATACACAAGCTCGAAAGAGTACAACACATAGCCACACGGCTCATTCCCGGTCTTCAGGGTGTGCCGTATGAAGAAAGATGCAGACAATTGGGTCTGTATACTCTAGCCTACCGCCGCGTGCGAGTGGACCTCATCATGACCCATCGGGTATTGCATCTGGGTGCTTATCCGATGCTGAGGCCACTGCTCCATGTCCGTGCGTCAAGCAGCACACGAGGTCACCAGTACAAACTGGTAGTCCCTGACCTCAAGTGGGTAGCTCATCCCTTGTGTCTTGAGCGGCGAGTGGTGAACATGTGGAACCGTTTGCCCTCGCGGATAGTAGAAGCGAACTCGGTGTCGGAATTCAAACGATTCCTGGACGCGCACTTTGCGGATGCCAGATTCGACGAAGCCTTCACAGGAAACTGACGAAGGAATCGTTCAATGATTATAACCCATGGAGCCCGTTAATCCACCAACTGCAGCTTCCGAAACGATGCCCATCCGTAATAGGCGGCGGAGCTGGTGAAGGACTCCATGTGGTTCATCCAAGAATATATGGTAAGTACATGAAGATTTTTTCTATGCTTGTAAATATTTTACTATTTTACTTTTTTCACCTGGGCTAGCTCACTACTACAGGTAACACTGTGTCAGTGGGACATGTCCTACATCGAGATATAGCTACATAGATGTTCAACATCTTTCTCGCTATCATGACAGTCAAGTCAAGTCAAGTCAAGTCAAGTCTAGTGGAGTGATTCATGGTAGCGTGCTAGGCCCGCTTTTATTCTTAATCTGTTTCAACGATCTCCTCGACGAAACCTCGTATGGAAAGCCGTTCCTTTTCGCAGATGATGTTAAAATTGTGTATTGTTCCACCCCTGGGCAACGTAGTCCTAACTTAGCCTATATTCAGTCTGATTTGTCCGCATTGGAGCTCTGGAGTAACTCCTGGAAGCTGCACTTTGCCACGGACAAGGGTAATCTATTGTACTACGGCTGTGACCCTTCTCTGAACATCCTTACATTAAACGATACCCATATTCCTGTGGGTGGCGCAGTCCGAGACCTTGGTCTAAGATATTCTGCCTCATTTAACTTTTTAGAGCATGTTATATTCTTGCAGGCTTCCGCCAGAAAAGTGATCGCCTATATAAGTCGAACTCTTATTTTGTGGGATTCTAGGCTTCAAGCCTTTAAAATATGTGTTAGGCCGGAACTTGAGTACTGTACGATAGTGCATAGTAATCTGAGATAAGTGTATACTATAGCACTAGAAAACATTCAACGATCATTCACAAAAAGGTTTCTGAACATGCTTAATACTATGACATACCGTGAGCGTTGCGAGGCGCTAAATCTGGAGCCGCTATGGCTACGCAGACTCAAACTTAATCTGTGCCTTTTATACCGCTTACTATTCGGATTGACCTTCACTGCTCAGCCACAACTCGAGTTTCACACTCGTATGCGCTATGAACTAAGAAACAGCGAGCGCACAGTGAAAATACCAAAGTCTCGCACAAAACTCCGCTCAAAATTTTTCTCTGTAAAATATGCGTTAATATGGAACAAACTTCCATCGAGTGTTAGAAACTGCACTACCTATGCACAATTCAGACGCATGATTAATATTCACCTGACTGTTGCAAACATCTGGTCAACACTAAGCCAAATGGTGACTCTAGATGATTTGTATGAGAAAGGTCCTGGATACGTATGAAAGTCCCCATATCCTCTATTCGTTTCAATAATATAAGATTACCTACATATAATTGCATTCTTGAGTATATATTTGAGAACGATCTTAGTCCTATTAATCCGTTTAACCAATTATGTCTTCTCCTTTGACGCACTGGTTCGTTGATGCACTACGCCTTCCAAGCTGATGTCTCTGTACCATCGTGGTCACTCGCCAAGATTTTTCATCAAATTGTGACTGGCCTATTGACTGCTAATCATTTCAAAAACCCATATGGGAACCTTTGATCAAAAGACGAACAATTAACTATATTATGCGATCACGTTGTACATGTTGATAAGACCACCCAATTGGTCTGTGCCTCGCACTGATGAGGAATAAAATGTTTAATTATTTATTTATTATTTATTGAGTAGAGCTCGTCGAACTGGTTCGAACGAGCGCACACACAATATTGTGTGGGGAGAATTAGAGTGGCCGCAGTGGGCAAAGCGAGAGCCTAGTTAAAGTGCGGCCGCACGCCTAAATCTCATCTTCCGCATCAGTAGTGAATTGTTTGCACGCTAACCACCAGGCCCAGACAACACACCGGTACCTACTACACAGGTATGGAGAACCTGCAGTGCAGTGGCATGACATGGTCTAGATTGTGTAACAAGTATGGTGCTTGCCTCATATTCACACTCATTGCTGCGCATAATCTGCAGGTCAATTGTGAATTTGGTGAAAAGGTGTCGTTTCAATTCACTAATCAATTAGCACGTTGACTAGCCGGGGCCTAGCTAGATTGGGCTCTTGACCTGAAAGTGTAATGAAGCATGTGGAAATACCCGTTGTTACAAACACAACCAGATTTGTCTCCGCGTCGCGTTTTGTTCAACTTCTTCAACCCTTTGTAGCAAGGATATTCTATTTAGTCAAAGTATAAGCTTCAGCTATTGTCATTAACACCGCTGTGTAGATAGGATATATGATCGGTAAACATAAAAAAGTTGCCTATTAATGTCGCAAACGTCTAAGCTAGGGGTGTAAACCTCTTAAATCACCGGGAGGTTGCGTTGAAAACTGTTTGAATGCAACTCTCTGATGCATGCAAACGCAAAAACACATAAAAGAGCCGCGCCAGAGAATGTGATATAATCATTCGCGAGAATCATCTGAATTTCCCTACGCAACTTAGTGCTGCTGAGAGCTGCTGTCAACCAAAACTTGAAGCGTCTTAAGTAAACAGGATGAAAACGAGTTTTCTCCTCTTCACTGATATCGTACATCCATTTACAATTCCGACTCAATGACTGGCTCAAAGCCGATACAATAGTATAGCATAAGGAACAGTTGTCAAGTCTGTTAGTGCAAGGATGACGCATAAATTTCTATACAGCTTGCTTTCACATCCTGTATTACCTGGAAGCAAGACAGACTGTGAACCGCATAATGAATTTTGAGTAAAAAGTCGTGTTTCTAGCAGGCAAAATCCTTTTTAGCTAACTTCTAGCTACACCACGTCATTGGTTACGTACGACAATAAGTTGAACACTTGGGCCGTTTGTTATCAGTACAGGTTCAATAGTTGAACTGCTCCCCACTAGTATACAGTGAGTGTGCCTGCTTCCACTTCAAGGGAACATCCTAGCGCAAAATTGACGTTAAAATATCCTAGCTACAGAAACAGCTCGGTTGCTGCGCTACAAAAGCCATGTGGATGATAACACGGCCCCGGCTTCATCATGGTAGCAGATCATGCAGTTTATGGTGCACTTGACTGCATACATGTTAAATGGAAACGAAAAATTGTCCGCCACACTTGGCCATCCCTACCAGTTACGGTAACCGGTTCATCAAGAGATGCGTTTACAAAGGAGAAATATGGTCATGCCAGTGTTTGTACCTTACCAGTTTCATAACAGTGTAGTACAAGCGGACACTAGTTATTCGTGTTAGACACAGTTGTCTGGCCGACGACCGAAAGATAATTACACAACCACCCTCATGACGAATGGTCGTCCTCGAGAGTATGTACAAGAACACAACCAACTGCGGGGGCTGGAGGACATGATGCATGAGAAAGACAAGAAAAAAGCCGACTTCCAATGAGGATTTTACTATGCAGAAGACAAGTAGTTGTCCTCACCCCAACCGAACTTTAACGGTAGTTCCTTGACGAAGGAATCTCAATCTGTCGGGATCAACTCACGCTTAGCATACCGAATCGTGCGAGACTGCGGAGCCATCTCTATAGACAGAAGAGATACAACTCGGCCCGATCTGCAAATAGCTGCTTCCTTCAGTTCACCAAGATGACCGCCATCAGCTATGTGTTCAAAAACAACTAACTGACAGTCTGGCTACCAGCACTGTAGGAGTTGGACTTCTGTCGCTCACAATCTAACCCAGGCTTGTCTGACCAAACTTACTGTTAGGAGTATGTACGCACTCCGGTTATTGTCCATAGCCCAGAGGTGATAACACAAAATCCACGCATCTGCCAAGTATATAATTTTTCTTGGATTTTCCAGAGGGAAGAGAGGTTAGAAGGAATTTGATTATAATCATCGAATTGCTAAGTTAACAAGATTCAAGTGACTGGATGCAAGAATGAAGAGGAAAAGAAAACGCCAATGATCAGAGCATTATGCTATCCCATATAGTTCCCATGCTAACCGTTCCTTAACTATAAAAACGGTGTTAATAGCCCATTGATTCAGTTGTAATTTTTGCATCTTTTGTGCCTATGGGACGCAAAATGCTCCTAACCAATGGATGGAAAATATTTGGTCATATAGATATATTTACATTTATATATTTATATATCTGTATATTAGGTGTGTGGCTGGAGCTTCGAGTAGTGCACCGCGAGACATCCGTACTCTTCCAGTATGCACAGGCGTCCTATGGTTGTTCGCAGTCTGAGTGACAGCCAAATTCGGAAACGGATGCCACCAACCATGTTGGCCATCAGCGAAATAATACCGTTCAACCATACCGAGCACCTGCTTTCCTTAGACAGAAACTTAGCTCAAGAAGACTTGTGATATGTCTTACAATCCGCCTAAACAAAATGCTGCATTGGCCTAGCACACCAGTGACCAAACAGTAGTCTGTGTAGGATAAGTACGTGCAACCGGACTCTAGCACCGAATAAGCCAGCGGGATACTGCGCCGGCATTGCATGCGCCGGACGACCTTGAACTGGAGTCTACAAAACTCTTCTGCACCATCTCTGTATTCTATTGCGGAACAGGTACAGAAACGGAAATGATATCCTAAAGGTTGAACAGCACTGTTTCTACTCACCTTCTTCCACTGGTCACCCATCGATTTTATATCCCTCAACAGTCTCCCGAATCTGCTCGGAATGAAAGCAGTAAGGTAGATCAGATCTCGCCAGACAATTTCAGAGATCCATGGATGAGGTGGAGAGTATGTGTGCTCGGTGATCGCAACATTACCTCGAACGAGGAACGCCAGCTCTTTGGAGCGAATCAGCTTTTCATCTTGTTGAAGACGAAGAGCTAGCTCGAAGGATAAGAGCATTTTGTGTTCTTCGAAAATGCCTGTTGAGATGTGGAGAGACGGAAATTTGACTCGAATGCATGTTGACTAATTTTAAGCAAGAAAGTATCAAGGTATAAGGTAGTACAAGGCGTTCATGTCCTTTTTTAGTTTCTTTGCCAACTTTGAATGTTCCACAATAGCCAGCTTTCAGCTTATGAGCAAACTGCTTGATAAAGTTGAATGTCCCCGTTCGGAACCTATGTAGGTACGTAGGGACGAAGTGGATCAGCGCAGTTCACTCGGCTAACCAAGATGTGTGCAAGTGATGTAGATCCCATACTTTGGCTCACGTCACCAAGCTATAGCAATATTGACAATAATAACCCTGATGTAATGTTTTCGTCCCAGCTGCTCACAAGCTAAATAGCACAGCCTAGTCCGGAATAACACCAGACGCGTTTCACCCTACTGGAGCTCGTCGGTGGTGCGCATTCCCTTGGTCCACTTACTGGGGATCGAACCCATGAGCGCTAGAGGCAGATGTCAACTAGCCAGCAGCTTAAGCCACTGCAGCCTCTCTTAGTTTCCAATTCTATGGATGTAGCGTCTAGTAAGAGGAAGTCATGACCTTCGGAGGCTAGCCACTGTCACCTGCTAAAGTAGCAACCTGCGTGGCAGTGGAAGATAGGTCGTGCTATATCTCAGTTAGCTTGCAAATTATATAGTCCAAACGACGTCCCCCATGGCTCAGTGGCTTAAGCTGCTGGCTAGTTGGCATCTACCTCTAGCGGTCATGGGTTCGATTCCCAGTAGGGCAGCCAGGGAATGCACACCACCGACGAGACCAGTAGAGCGAATCGCGGCTGGTGCTTTTCCGGACTAGGTTGTGCTATGCAGCTTGTGAGCAGCTGGGACGTAAACATTACAATTACAAACCCCTCCTACTCATTAGTAATAACACTGATGGTTCAAAAGAAATGGACAAGAATAAAAGGCAACGGAAGAAATCAAAGTTTCAACCTAAAATCGTGCAATGGTTTCAGATTTGATAACTGCGATATATAAAGTATATAATAACCGATATGGCCGACCTCGTGTACCTCACCCAGAAAGATGATAAACACCGACTCTGATTAGTACTTTGCTTACCTCATGCTCCTTTGTCAAGCTATAGAGTGAATTCCTCCGTGGGATGTAACGGGAAATATTAAAGCACGAAATATTTGTTTAGTAGAAAGGCAGAACTCATGACCTAGACTGCGTATGCGATTTTAGTTCGGTAGACCTGACACCAAGGTAGCATTGGGTATGTAGTGAAATATCCTATGACGATCATCACTGCTACTCATGGGGTGCCCCACGGGACAAGTGCGATAGTCTGAAGGCATCAGTGATCAATCGTAACCGTACAGGAGGTTTAAACGCACGGCTGCGTTGTCAATGTTGTTCTTCAGGTAGAAAGTGATGTCGCGCCTGCGCCACAGGTGGCGGAGATTGACAAACGCGCCTAGAGTTTTTGCTATACGGTTCGCGATCTCCTCTTCTATTCTACATACGTTAATATAGCTGCCGAGATACTCGCATTTCCGGACGACTTCTGATCACCAATAAGAGTCAGCGCAAGCGTGGGTCCATGCCAATCTTATAAAAGGAGATTGCATTGCAACCAGCACCGTCATTTCACGCACCAGGCTCTGATGACTGAGCCACATGTTGCACATGTCAGCCCACCGACTCCTGCGACGTGCGTTGTTTGCGCGCCAGGGGTGTAGATGGAAGAAGGGGAGGGGTGGCCGAGCGAGATTTTGGTCGAGAGGAATGAAGGTCCTCACTTCGAAGATGGCCTCGATGGAAGCTTCACGGCTCCCTGGTTGGGGTCCAAAAGACGATGAACACGTTTGGTTAGATACACTTGCTGACATGGCTAGGAGCCGACCTTAGTAGCCTTCCCGCTGTGAGTTTCTTTGTCCCTCCACATCCCTTTTAGCCTCCTCCTACAACCACGATCTTATTTCTTAGCATAATATACTTTTGAATAGTAATTACTTTTGCTGCACAGCCGCCGGCTGATAGCTTACCGGAACGATGCCCATCCGTAACCGCTAGCTCATTTGGCGTGCAACTGTTGTATTTATTTTCTTTTTTCTTCTATGTGTTGCGGCACAGTAGCTGAGGTGTTTTTATACCTCTAGCTAAAGTGTATAATGAGGAATGATGATGCACACGGAAAAGCATTATTTATTGCCGTGCGTTTTCAGCATATTGCCGTTGTGCATTGTACTAGTCATATCTATACTACGCAAAGTGGGATGTCGAGGAATTTCTTGCATTCCGACATCGATTTCGCCTCTACTGTTGTGCCTGTCACAATAAATCACCACTCGACGCTCGCGTGACGTGCATGCTACTGGTTCATTTGGATTATTCGCCTCTATCCTCTCACCATCTTCTCGCAGTGTTGCCACTGTACGCTCATTCGAACCGGATTTACCAGTTCTACACAGTGATCCATCATACGTGAATATCTTCTTCGATTAGAGGCTGTGCCACCACTAACCGTTTTCACTGGCATCTGTGATTAAGCGCAAGCGTTTAATTCAATCATATTGAGCTGATTGCCTTTCTGTGTGACACCATTCGATACAGAATTCTCGAGGCTGGCCGAAAAGCCTAAGCTTATTCCGATCCAGAGTTTCTCAGCACAGCTGTGATAGAATCTGTGGTCTGTCAATCTGTGTTCAGCGCTCTGTTCAGGTTCCAGTCACTCGCCATTCCTTGTGACCCTGTCAGCCAGTGCGGCTGCATAACTCATCACACGGACCGTGCGACCAGGCCGACCGCTCATTTGACCTTGCAATCACCACGTTCGCCTGACCGATGTGCGCCGCTCTCAAAGCTGTAAAAGTACAGAACGCTAACCAACCCACTGGGTCAGATAAGGACACCCAATTGAATGGCAGAAAGGTGAAACCGAAGAGACTCCCATCGAAAGACATTTGCGGGTTCGGAGAATGTCATCAAATAGTAAAATCGGTCTGGCTTGTTCGCACTGTTTGGAATGGTACCATACGAAATGTGCAAATGTGTCCCAACAACAGTTACGGGAGCGAAATAGCTCCCAAGATGCACTTTGGTTCTGTACTGCGTGTTCCACCATCCCCCTCGTTAAGTGCTAGCTTATCCTAGCTGAGAAATGCGACCGGTTAATCACAGAAGCAGAGCAGAGGATAAACAATAAGATTACTTCAATGGAAGCGAGTATGGACCACAGAAGTAGCCGCTACGGCTGCTAAGCAGCGGAATGCTGAACAATCCACTTCCCCTGAACCGCAATCAGCCACCTCTCCATCTCCGTTGTCTTCCCCAAATTTGGTAGAACGCCGGGCGAAAACAGACTGTACCTACGTCAATCAAACAGTACACACGGCAACGAAAATCAGGCACCATTCAAAACGTCTGGTTAAGCAAATTCCACTAGACCTGACATCTAGCATTAACAAGGATGAAGCAGCCAAACACCAACCTTTGGTACCTGTAGCTCAAATATCTCTTGTCGAGACTAAGCCTCCCAGAACATCGGTTACATATGCAGAGATTGCTGAAAGGGTCCACCGAGAGCCCGCCGTTGCGTCCTGTTCCATTGTAAACACCGTTAACGCAAATGGAAGGAAAAACAGCAAACAATCACTTGTCAACAAGTCTGGACAAATGAGTACCATACCTTGTACATCGACGAAAAAAGGATCCAACAACAGTGCCCAGACTGTTGTATGCCCAAATGCCCCTGAATCTACCGCCATCACATTGCGGGATAAGTTATCAGACGACCAAGACCAATGGAACTCATTGTGTATGCAGATGAGTATCAAAGCCAAGCCCATAAATTTGTTACGAATTACTTGTCATCCGAACTCGCCACACTGTGGTGAACCCAGACTTATTCGAGTAACTAGAATCCTCAACCGACGTAGAAAACGTTTTACTCTCCGCAAGCGCGCTAAAACAGGAATCCTGTGGGATACGTCTCTATTCTGATGTACCTTGGAGCGCGCCGAAGAGGGGCACAGCAAACAAGACCGCCTAAACACAATCTTCATACATGGCGTGCCAGAGCATCCTTCTAACGATGTTCAAGAGACCGGAAAGCACGATTTAGAACAGTGGCGGTTCATTCGTGAAACAATTTCTATGGATAATGTTATGGCACTATCGCTCACCAGGATACCTCTCTCATCGAATTATAGAGGATGCGGCCCTAGAATCCTAAAACTTGTGGTTCAGTCAGAGCAACAAGCAAAGGATGTTTTGGATCGATGGCGGAAAAATCGGAAACATCTTCCTTCCGAAATTCGCTTAAAGGTCACAAACACTGCACAGCTCAAATATTAAAGCAACTGAAGCAACAAGCATACCGACGAATGTACAAAAGCGTAACTTGACTGCTGCTTTAATTGACTCTGAAGTAGATCTAAACGAAGGTTGCGACGCATCTTGGCCGAATCAAGTTGCAAACGAGGTATCATTGACCCATCAAAAATACGAGTAAGTACAGACCTCCCATCGGTCGGCATTCTCCCACACTTGACAGCTTCACCTCTCTGTAGGTTCCTAGAGACCGAGAAACTGGCCTGCTTGTATACAAATGCTCAGGGTCTTTCTAACAAACTGACGGAACTGAAAGATCGCCAAGCTTCCGGCTCGTAGTATGTCATTGGTATCACCGAGACATGGTTACACACGGGAATGATGGAAGCTGAAGTTTCTCTACCGGGCATGTCGCTGATCCGGAACGATAGGCTCACAAAAGGATGAGGGGTAATCCTGTATTACCGAAGCAACTTACAGTGCGAAGCCGTGGAGGATTCAGACTCTCAGTTCCCCGACTCTCTTTGGTGCCGGTTGCAGTTAAAAGGCAGGGGCGTTTGCCTTATTGTCTTGGTGTACCGCGCCCCTAACTCAACACCCGATATACATTTGCAAAAGTTTACGAATAGACATAATGCCACCAGAAACCATGGGATTCAAACGAAGGTACAGAAATAGTAAAATAAAACATAAC